TCCAACTGATTTTTGTATGTTGATCTTGTATCCTGTTACTTTGCTGAATTGGTCCACTGTGTCCAATAGTTTTTTTTCTGAGTCTTTAGGGTTTTCTAACTACTATCATATTATTTGCATAGAGATAATTTTACTTCCTCTTTGCCAATTTGGATACCTTTTATTTCCTTCTCTTATTTCTATTTAAAGCAGAACTTTAAGCATGGGGAAAAGTAACCAGCACTTGTAGGAGTTCAGATAAATTTACTACTTTGTTCAAGGTCACAAAATCAGTGAATGGAAAACAAGTATTGAAGCAGGTCTCTAAGTTTCAAAGGCCTAGATTCTTCCCGCAAATTACTTTGTTCATGCTCAGCCCAAGACAAAGGGAAAAGTCACAGCCAACTCCCATGATCCAAGCCTAAAGTTGGGAGATGCTATGAAATTAAGCCAGTCCTGTATTATTGAGGCATTACTTTGACATATAGCATAGCTTTATTCATAAGCATCCATCTACTTTCACACACATCTACAGACACAATGAACAGGAGTGTGTAATAGTCCTAAATGGACGAAGCATACTAAGATCTGAGGTGATTTCTCCACATTACATTGTAGATGAATACAAAACCTCTTTTATCCAGCATGCATCAGAAACACCTGCTAGGTTTCACCCCCTAAACTCTTCCGAAGGTCTCAGGCAGGTCAGATGATTTGCATTTCTAGCAAGTTTCCAAAGTGATCTTGATGATTGTTGGCACAGGAACCATACACTGAGAATAACTGGATAAAAGTGCACCATAAATTTCCCACAAACCATCTGGGTACTATCTTTCCAAAATGTCTGGGATGCACACAGAAACCTGCCCCTGACCTAGAAAATATATCTCTGGGTTTGATTCTCCTGTGGATAACCCTAGGGGGCTCTGGTAGCCAACCCTCCTCTGCAATGCCCTCCTCCCATGCAACATCATTTTCATTATCTGTCTTTATCATTGCCCCGATACTAGGCAGGTTGCCACCCTTTAACTCCACCTTTTGAGTTATGGAATGTTCATCTTGTTAGCCCCACAGTCTACAATCTGGCTGCTTTCCAGAATCCTGAGCATCTTGATGGGATTATTCATAGGAGAGTGAGAGGAGAGCGAGCCTTGGAAGGCAAAAAGATAAGCAGAGGCAAATTTCTGCTCAGGAGACCTCAGCAAGCTTCGGAAAGACAGCGTCTCAGGGGAGTGGCTTCTTGGTGCATGTAGGGGCAGGTGGACCCAAGGCACTAGGGCTCCTAGCCCATGCCCCAGTGACCCTGGAGTCACAGACATGCCCCAAAGGGACCATGTTGAAGTACACAGTAGTGTAGTGATGACATACATAATGGCTTAGACATGCCTTCAATTGGTAATTCTCATAAAGAGGGTAGGTCATATGGAAGTGGACAGTGAATGAATCAGTGGCATATATGAAGGTTGAATGCCCCCAAAAAGATCACTGATTCTTGGATAACTCTAAGGAAGAGAAGAAGCCATCTAATAGAGAATGAGGTTGAATTTTACTCTCCTCAGTGAGATGAAGAGAAGATGTAGGTTTATGTCATTAAAGGTTACCTGGGATACATACTACAGAGGAGACACAGCAAGTAAATGTACATTGTTTATTAGAAGGTAGGGCTTGGATCAAGCCCCAGACAAAAACTGATCTTGGTAAACTGGGTGGAGTCTCACAAGGGAACACAAGCCCTTCTTTATTCAAACTTGAAGCTGACTTATCCTACTACCTGGTCTTCCCCTTCCCTTTTTCTTTCCTTTCCTTGTATCAGTCCAAGTCTGAAGGCTCCTGGGTGTAGCCAAGACTCCACTAAGTATTGTCTTTCTCCAAGAAAACACAGTGGTCTTTCAACCAGGAACAAAACTGTCTTTTTCAAAGGAGGAAAATGTAGAGCAATAGAAAAGTCTTTTTTCATTTTTGTTACTGCTCATTTGTCTCATGTGAGCTCAATAAATTAAACAGTGCAAATTCTCAAGTCTTTGCATGAAAGTCTTTTTTATTTTTCCTTAGAAACAGCATAAGCGGATCAAGTAGTTATTGCATTTGTATTTACCTACTACATGTAAGGAAAGTAAGAAACCCCTGATCTACTCCAAATTAGATTCTCCTATCATCTAACTAAACTTCTTAAATCATGTTGTAATGAGTGCACTAGATAATAAAATCTAATTCTAACACATATTAGGTAATCTATAACTATTTGTTTAAAGAGTTAAATGATGTAATTCAATGACATTGTTATGCTCTGTAAAATGTAATACTATCTTCCCTGAGCCCCTTGAACTCTATGCCAATCCCAATAGGGGGATTAACATTTTAACAAGATGTGCCTGCTTGTCCTTGTTCTCAAATGTGTGCCTGGACTTCTCTTCCTTTTGTATTCATTCTTTCACACTTGAAAAGAGGCACAGGCCTACTGAGGTCTCAATGAGGTGTAAGCTGTTGAGAGACGGGTGGGGGCACTTCTTGAAGCTCACATCTAGGCGGTCCTAACATCTTCAGCAGCATGCACATTTTCTGGAACTTAGAGATAGATAGGCTCTCGCTACACAGTTTAACTACTGCATTCTCAAGGAAAAGTAACATTTTCAGAATGTAGCAAATATTATACTCTTAAGGCATGATCTTCCTCGAAGACTTGGTTTCACACAGAAATAAGCAGTTAAAGCGAAGGCAGGAGAAAAAGAGCAAGCTTCATAACTTCAGCCTATCCAAAATGTCATCCAAGGGGTCCTCCACAGAACACCACCTGTGAACTTAAACACAATAGAAGATGGGGGTTCAGTGCCATAGTCTTGGGGAATACTACAATTGAAACTTAAAACAATCAACCATTGGAAAGCAAAAGGGCAACATTTGCCTAGGGAGAAAGCTCAGGCAGCAGAGAGGGATAGGAAAGAAGGACGAAAGGGAATGGTAAGCACAGGGAAGAAGTGGAGAAGGCGCTAATTGTGGGGCTTACAATCAATGTCACAAAACAAAACACGTATGAATTATTGAATGGAAAAATACATTTGCTTTGCTAACTTTTACTCACATCACATTTTAAAAATGAGTAAAGTCTCTAGTTAAAGATCAATTTTCATATTCAAGGAAGCTCATTAATAAAAGTGACTCTGGAGGACATCATGCTAAGTGACACAAGTCAGTCACAAAAGGCCAAATAATCACTACTGTTGTTGTTAACTGGCTTTGAGTGGAGCACGACTCATAGCAACCCCATGAACAAACGGCCTGGAGCCCCTCTACAACCATCGACATTTATCAAAGTTCATAGAGTTTCTGGAGGCACGTTATTTAGGAAGTGGATGCCACTCCTGCTTCCAAACCTGTCATAGTATGTTACCGTTGTTATGTGCCATTGAGTTGCCTGCGATTCATAGCGATCCTATGTACAGAAGCTCTGAACCCTTCCCTGTCCTGAGCCAGTCTCAGAAAGAAACATTCTTCAATGGTTACCAAAGATGGGAGGGGAGGGTTAGGGGAATTAAGAAGAAATAAAACAACAAAAATGACAGGTCAAATGCCAGGAAAATTGATTATTCTGCCCCATGGGCCACCCCAGTTCTCCAGGCTCAGGACTCCTGGGGGCAGGTAGCTCCAGTTGCTGTAATCTTACCTTTCGGTGGCCAGGTCTTCTCCTCATGGTTGTCTTTCACTGGATCTCCCTGGCTCCAGTAGCTCTCAAAAGGCTGTATGAAGGTGGGCTTCACGGTACCTTGCACCTTGCCTTGGTTTATCTGGTCCCACCCAGAGACCATCTCCTCCTGAGACTCCAGTGCAGCCCATAGAGTAGGGTTGTAGATGCCCCCAAAAGGCACAGGGGGTGAGACTTCTGTTTCTGTCTTCATGACAATTGGAAGTGGAGATGGTGAGTAAGGGAACCCATCCGGGAATGGGATGTGGTAAGGAAATAACTGTGAATGAGGATTTATCACAGTGGGCTGGATGGCCGGGGCCCAGGGACTCGGTTGTCCTGGTCTGAAAAATGTACCAGCACAGGTTTCCTTCTCCTCCCACTCCTTCTGAGACTCAGCATACACCCTGCTTTGGGCGATCCTGACCTTTATGTCTTGCTTCTGGTTGTCCTGGGGACACCCCTCTGCCTCAGGCTGATAGGTTGGTGACCCAGTCAAGTCGTGAGAACTGGCCGGGGCCGCCCTCTCGACCTGGAGCAGCCGCTGGCGAAGCACATCATGCTCCTCCAGGGCCTGCTGCAGCGAGTCGCTCGTACTGCGCAAGCGCAAGGCCATCTCCTCATGCTCCTGACGCAGCGACCGTAGCTCTGAGGCCATGACCGCAGCGGCTGCCTCGCGCTGGACGAGGTGTTCCTGTAACCGCCGCATGCGTTGCCTATGATGCTCGCGCTGGCGGGCGGCCAGGCGCACATTCAGGGCCAGCGCGCTCCAGGTGCACGCCCTCTTGATGGCGTGCGGTATCTGCTGGTCGGCCAGGAGGGCCTGGAGCCGATCCTCCACCTCGCTCCAAGGCCTCGAATGGAGGGCCAGGAAGAAGTTTAGGCCACCGTTACTAAGGATCTCTTCGTTGATGAACTTCACCACCTCGCTGTGCCGAAACCCATTCTTGGGATCCGTAAAATCCAGGGCCATGGCCACCGGACTTTTAGCACTCCCGCGTCACAGAACGCAGGCCGGCCTATTCCCCTAGGTGTAGTCGACCGCCCGAGTCAGCCTCTCACTGCCCAGTTCTGTCCCAATTCGTCCCTGACTTGGTCCTACTTTTCCTAACGGTTTATTTCTCCCCTCATTCACTGGTCCTCACAAAGAATTCAATCGAGTGCCTGTCCCTAACTGACGCAAGCCCGCTGGGATATCGCTTCTTCTGGAAGAACTCAGGCTGGCGCAAAGCCTGCTGGGAACGACTTCTCGACGCAACGTCCCCTGCGTGACGGGTTGACTCTGGACCCCTGGGACAACCGCCTCGAAGCCAGAGATGATGCTCCTTTCCAGCAGCGTCTGAACATCCAGCTATACATAGCAAGTTTCTAATGTAGTAGTGGAAGTGAGTAGATGGGAACATACGGCCCCCTTGGAAGACAAGCCTGACCATGTGTTTATGAAAAGCCTTGAAAATACTGTGAAGCGGTTCGACTCATAGTTGTTGTTACGTGCCTTTGAGTCACCTGTGAATCATAGATACCCTATGTACCCTAATAGGTTACTCATTTAATCCCATTGCCCCAGTCATTGGGTCGATCCATCTCGTCCAGGGTCTTCCTCCCCTGTGTTGTCCCTCCACCCTTCCAAGCACGATATCCTTCTCCATGGAATAGTCCCTCCTGGCCACATGCCCAAAGTATGTGACACAGAACTTCAAAATCCTTGTTTCCAGGGAGCAGCCTGGTTTCACCCTCTCCAGAACAGGCCTGTTTGTTCTCCTGACAGTTCACGGAATGTTCAACACTCTTCTCCAGCATCATAACTCAACAAAGAGTAAGTCATCATAAATTAAAATCAATTAGGCAGCAACTAACAACAACAAACAACAGGTCCTAGTGGGTGGAGAGTTCTGCTGGCAACTGAGAGGCAGGAGGTTCGAATCCACCAGCTGCCCTGCTGAAGAAAGATGGGTAATCTCCTGTGTGATTTACAGCTTCTGAAAAGTCATTGAAGGCTGGGAGGTCAGCTATGGATGGGTTCCTACTGGACAATACATAATGACAACTTATATACATATTCCTATGTTCACATTCCGTGTTCCAACCACTAGTGTCTGCTTACGACTGTTCCTCTTCCTTAGTATTTCCGTACTTGAAACCTCCACTTCAGTTGCACTATCTGCTAGTCTAAGTGTGTTCTATTGTACACAGGGTTTTCGAAGACCTGCTATTTCAGAAGTGGATGGCCAATCCTTCTTCCTAGTATGTCTTATTCTGAATGCTCAGATTTAGAAAAGTATCTGACAGACAAGCTTTTTATGGAAAAAATATAGATGAAAGATATTTCCCAATTGTAGAAATAACCTGAAGCACTTGCTGCAGAAGGTCAGGGACTGCAGCCTTCAGTATAAATTGAGGCTCAACATTAAGAAAACAAAGATTCTCACCACTGGGCCAATTGGCAGCATCATGATGGATGGTGAAGAGATTGGGACTGTTCACAGCTTTACTTTTCTTGACTCCACAATTAACAATCTTGGCACCAGCAGCCAGGAAATTAAAAGACATGTTGCGATGGGAATGTCTGTGGTTAGAGACCTCTCTAAAGTACTGAAGAACAATGATGTCAGTCTGTAGACTAAGGTGCACCTGATACAGGTCATGTTCTTTGCAGTCACTTGCTATGTATCAGAAAGCTGGACAATGACTGAGGATGATAGAAGGAGAATTGATGCCTTTGAGTTGTGGAGCTGAAGAAGAGTGTTGAATAAACCATGGACTGTTAACAGATTTGTCCTGGAGAGGGTGAAGCCAGGCTGCTCCTTGGATTCTGAAGCTTTTTCTGACATACTTTGGACATGTTGCAAGGTGGGATCAGTCCTTGGAGAGGGACGTCTTGCTTGTGAGGGTGGAGAGACAGTGCAGGAGAGGAAGACCCTCTAGGAGGTGGATTGATT